TTTTTTTTTTCAAAGTTTTCTTATTTTTCTCTCCTTTTTCTTATTTTTGTCAATTATTTACTATCTTTCATATATATATATATATATAGTAGTGTTCAATTGCTCCCTGTGAGCAAGAAATTATATGCTCATTTTTAATTGCAGTCTTAAGATCTAATCCTACAGCAATAAGTTAATTAACTTTTCTTTTCTTTATTTTAAGAAACTTACATTTTTTTTCCATATCATAAAATATCATTAAAGAAAAATGACAGAACTAGGTAATTTATTAAAGGAAACAAGAATAAAATAATTTGGCTAATTTTTTTCCTTGGTTTCTCTATCCAATAAAAAAACCCTTCTCTATCACTACCGATTATTTATTCAACAAATTTACAAGTAGCACCGAAACCAAATAAAATTAATCAAAAGTGATATATAAAATTAACAATAAATAAAGATTGCTTAAGAAGTATTGATTATAATCAAAACTCAAATTTCAAGATTTGATCCATGTTTTACACTCAGCTTAATAAAATATTTTGAATTTGTTTAGCAACTAATTTTGAATTAGGAGAAGACTACTATTGGCTTCATAAATTTTTTAGAAAGGTCCTGAAAAACAACTTTTAGTATATTATTATTATTATATATCCATCTAAATGTTCTCAGTGTTTCTTTGTTTTTTTTGAGTAAATTAAATGTTCAAAGTGTTGATCTTGTAAAAGCATGCCATATGTATTATAGTATTCTAATAGAGAATTATGTTCTCTATTTATTTAATTAATCAATAGAATTGATAAATTGTGGAAAGAAACTAAAAATGATAACTTTTAATTTTAGATTAATTTTACTTCGTCTTGTGGCTGCTTGTGAATTTGGCGATAACGGTAAGTTATTTTACATGTCTCGTCCGATGGATTTGACTTCAATCTCGACGTAAACCTTTACTAAACACCTGAAAATAAAAATATTTTTCAAAAATGATATTTTAGGTCGAAACAAACCGAATCTTAATGGTATGGAAAGAAAATGTAAGTTACTTAAAATAAAGAAAAGAAAAATTAATTAACTAATTGCTCAATCCTAAGGTATAATTTCTTGCTCCCATTGAGCAATTAAACAGTACTATATATATATATATGTATGTATATATCTTTTTTATATATCCTTACACATATTATTTTACAATAATTTTTTTCTTCTTTAACTAAAAAATCTATACTCCTCCTATATGTGATCATTTCAAGGTAACAAAACTACCAACAAATATATAATATGAATGAATATATGAGCCATATATGTTATAAATATGGATAAAACCAGAAACCAATTCACATCAATGATCATAAATATGGATAGAACCAGAAACCAATTCACATCAATGAAGACATATTTGCAAATATATATTTATATATATATATATCTCTCTCCAGGGGATAACAACGGCATGCCACGCCCATAACAACATGGCATACATCGTTAAGGACAAATTCGTAAATAATGGCTGCAAATATATATATATATATATATATCTCGACCACCATGAAGATATATTATCCATCCAATAATTAAGAAGGATCATAAGGTGTCCTTGTACCCTTAATTATTTGGTGATGCATTATTCTCAACAAATTCACCTTATGATACAAAGGTCATGCGTTGCCTGTGTGGCATGCCATCTCTTTATTGCTATATTAAGCTACAAATTTATAATTAAGAAAGGGTGACTATTAATCTCACCAAATTCATAATTATTGGTGACATATTATAACAATTATTAAGTAGGCACATCTGTCCAATAATTAAGATGTGGTGGATAAATTCATAAATATTATATTGATTTATAGGTCATTAAGATAGGGTGGACAAATTCATAAATATTTTATTTATAGCTTAAAATTCATATCAATAAAGATATATTTGGATAGAAACAACCCGTTAACCAATCTCTCTCTCTCTCTCTATATATATATATATGATAAATTTGCACATATTTTTAAGGGCAAAATTTTAACTTTTGAAGTTCAAAATGATGAGCGCAATAACAAGCAACTATATACTGCTTTTCAAAGACAAACTATGTAAATTGATTCAAGAAAAGAATCATCCAAATCATTGTAGCACAAGTCGTAAAAAATGTTGGAATCCCATCTAAAGACTTAATGGTGTAGTAGTTCTGATTGATAGGAATGGCAATGAAGCGGTTTGGAACGAGAATGCCTTTATCATTCTCATTTTCGTTTAGAATAAGTATCCTTATTTTCGCTCTAATATTATTTAATAAACGGGATAGAGTGAGGCAGTACGGTTACAAGGCCGGAGCAAGTTTTGTACATTGATGTGTATTCCTGGCCTTTTCATTCCCTGATAAATTCATTGCTCAGATGCAAATTAATATATGGACAACAGTGTCGTTTGTATGTGGGAAACTTGTTTGATCAAGCTAGTATAAGTATACATATGCAAATTACATTATTGAACCAAATAGTAAAGACATATATACAGGTCGAGACTAGAACTGAGTTCTATATCCTTAAAAAGACAATATTCACTCTTCTTGGTGCTGATCGGATTCAATTAGCGATTGTCTCTCTAGATACAACAATCTTCTTTTTACTGGTAGCACTTTAAACCAGATAATAGTAGCTAGAGGTATTTACAAAATTTAGGTGTTGGCTCCGAGCTAGTATTACGCTAGTTTGGTTGTCCCGAACTATTAACCGGTGCACCCTTTTGACCTGAACATGTGTTGGGTGCACCGGTTGGGTGTTAGCCGAGTTTAACAAGCCAAGCCCAAGACTGAATTGACCGGCGATGTTAGATAGGTTAAACCCAACTTTAGCAAGGTCCTACACCTCCACAAAACTTGAATGCTCCTTGGGGCCTAACCCAAGTGCAAGCTTGGCAAATATAATGTCAGCATGTTATTCTCAATCTTTCAATATGCGACAAACCCCTTTTTACCTCTTTAAACCATGATCAAATGAGATACTTTGAATCTAATTTCTTGTTCACCTAAAAATAATTTTGGGTAAGTAAACAACTAAATGTGTTATCTTTTGATCTAATTTTTCGTTCACTCAAAAATGATTTTGAGTAAGTAAACAACTAATAAATGTGTCATTATTTAACTGTTTGGTTATATAATAGCTTACGATTGGATACGTCTTGAATTATTTAATAATTTTTGAAGAAAAAGAGAGAATGGAAGGCTTTTGGTTTGATTAGTATGTGGGTAAGGGTATTTTGCTGGACAAACCCATACATAGTTCAGTGTGGGCAATTATTCCCACTGAATTTTTATATTTCATTATTATATACAAATTTTCTTTTTTATATTATATAATTATAGAATTGTCCCAACTGGAATTATAAAAGATTCACTATTACCCTCCCAAAAAAAAAATATTTTTTATCTTGTTATTATTAAAGGCGCTCCCAATCAAATAATTTTCTAATCCACCCCTTGTATTTTGGACCTTTTTATTTTAAGCTTCGTTAGTAAGGTTAGAATGGATTTTTGTGTTTTGGGTGAGGTGGAGGGTGATTTGGTAATCGAATAAAAAAGTACTAAGGACAATTTTGATGAAGAATAGTTGTTTGTCTTCTAATTTAGTTTGAAAAAATTGTCACCAACTAGTCATCTTATTTTTTTCATAACTACTTTTTGTCTTTCCAAACACAGTCTTAAAAGCAAAAAAAGAAATGTAGAACCGAAAGTGACGTCCACTCTGACAGCAGAATGAATGAGGATTGTGGTGGTAAGGAAGGGCATTGAAGGTTGGTAAGATATCAACTGACTGTCGTTGCAAGGACTGACAAATCAGATTCGAAAGAGACGTGGTTGGTTCGACGTTAAGTTCTTCACTACCAAACACTCGTATCAATCATTCAAAATGCGTGTCTCATTGATGTCTTTGACTATTTTTTAGTTTTGGCAATTTGGCTTAGAAACGTTTGTAACTTTAAAAATAATTTTATGTCTCGATTTGTATTTTTTTAAATAGTTTTAAGTTTTAGAAGAAAACTGTTCTCAATACAAATTTGGTTCAATTTTTGAAAACTCAACGGTAAAAAGACCTATTTTTATATAACTGTTTTTTTTATAATTATTTAAAAATAATTTTATATTAATTCTTGAGATCTATTTTGTTACAAACCAAGCTGGCCTTAGTTTCGGCAAATTATATATGAAGTGCCCAGCCTTAATAAAGCAATGATTTCTTTTCTTTTTTCTGTTAATACATTCTCATATATTAATGTTTTAATAAAGTTAAGGTTTTTTTTATTTTTTTTAAATAGTTGAAAAAACAAAAGAGTAAACACTCGCAACAACTCATCTCTGATAAAACACTCTACCTCCTCTTTAGAGATGAGAGATCATACCAAGTGGGATAGCAGTAACAAGTTTGTAATGACCAAGGTAAGATTCAAATTAAGGAAATCAAATTACTTTACAATTTAAGAGCAACGTGATCCTACAAAGTCAAGCCCCATGATTACCATAAATGGAACTGAATCAAATCGCAAAAAATTCAAATCAGAACTCAAGAAGTGAAGTTAAAACCTAAGTCACATAAAGCATGAGTTAAAGCAAATTCAAGAACGGGAGCGTGAGAGCGACCTAATTAAGTCATAAATAGTAAGAATTTGAGCCAGAACGGATGCTCAGAACATGAGAATGACACCCGTTAAGAAAGATTGTGTGATTTAGGTCAAAACTCGTAAGTAACACACAAAAATATCGTTTCTAGATTTACAAGTCTATTCATTTAAATTGGCAAATAAATCAGCAAGCTGGGTGTTGGAAATTTACAATCAGTCCATAAATGTTCCATGACATAATCTATAAATTACAAGAAGGGTGTATAAATTTCATTTGAAGACTTATTAGGCCAACTTGTGATCTGAACTTGGCATATGATTTTTACACACAAATAAAAGGGGAATAATTTTTACACCTTGTGATCAGACGGTATGGAGTTCTCACTATAGGAAATTACCCAAGATTTTCGCTGATATACCTTGGATCATAATCTTGCTGAAGCTCCTCCAGAAGCATGATTGACCAGCTCCCTTCTCAAGATCTTTCCTGCCGGAGATTTCGGAATAGAGTTGATAAATGCAACGCGTCGAATCTTCTTGTATGGTGCAACCTGCAAGCAAGATGAAACGCTCCGATGCTATCATAAAAACTACTGCAAAAATACTAGCTGGAATAGGTATGCCATGGTATGCAATGTTTTAAAATGACGAATTTATGACGCAGAAATCCATTACATGGCGCTTCATACAAGGATTTTACTTGGAAAGATTGTGACTGAGGTTCTCAATGTCAACATGAAATGCTGATTCAACAGCTCATTTAATCTTGAGATAAGAATATCGTTGTTGTTTGAAAATATTATAAACTTTATAATCCTATCACTAGACAATTTGAACTTGCCATATGGTGATCAACATTTCCAGTAATCATTTCGACTGTTTTCACAAAAATTAATCATTTTTAGTTACGTTAATTCTACGAGCAATACGCTTTGATACTAATTGTTAAATCTTAAGATTGTTACCCAACGTTCTTATGTGTCAGGGTGTGAGTGATGACTTAGACCTAATAACTAACTTTTTGAATTACAGTTAGTTCTTGTTTGAAATTCAATTAACTAATTGATTACATGTTTCAGTTGCAATCATATAAAAATCTGAAGTACTAAATAAAATGAAGCAGAGAAAATATATCTTTTACGCGAAAAACCCCAAACATGGAAAATCAACATGACTTGATTTAGGCAGATCAAAATCCACTACAATGAAGAGGTTACAGACTAGGTTACCAGAGTCTAACCCAAGAATCACCTAGTTCCTCCCGACTTGAACTTACGCAAGATCTTCCCAGATCCTTCAGCAGCTGATCCATGACGGAGTTGCTCCTAACACAATCTGCTTCTCCATGGCTTCTACTGACGTCCAATCAACTTGTTCTTTGTGAACCACTCGGATTGATGCTGTAATTGATCATTTCAATTCCTCCCTTTATTTGGATTCTCTTAATCAGAACCCTAGATTGTTTCTCAAAGCTCTCTCTAAAAACAAACTTCTCTCAAATAAGTAAAGAGTTGAAAGCTGCTATGAGAGATACCCTAGACTAACATATAATCCCATATTTATAGCCAATATAAGAGACACATGTAGTATGTAAGTAAAATCCTTTTAGGATTCTGATTTGAGAGGGTTTACATACAAGTGTATCTACAGGGTTCAATCGAGATCGAACAAGACAAGCTTCATTTGATCAACACATCGATCGAGGCATTCTGGATTCCAAAACATTTTTTTTATACAAAGAATCTCTGTCAATCGACCATTCAATCGAGGTTTACTGTTTTGAAAATAATTTTATAAAAAATCCCAGTTTTGATATACAGGATTAAAACAATATTATGATCCTTCTTAATACCAAAGTTAGGTTATAGTTGATCTCTATGGTCTCAACTTACCTTAATCTAGATATGTGATTGAGCTTGAGAGATTTGAGGTGCGTTCTTCGCTGAACTTTATCTCCACCATCTTTAATGATTGTGGACGAATGACTCATGACACTTTGACACAAACTACAACCCAAGAACTCCATTTAAAATATCCTAATATAAGCAACAAAGTCTCCAAATCTTTCCCTCAACTTGAATTTCTAGTTTTATTAAATTAGTATTCCATACATTTAGTTCTAATTCTACCTATAACTCTCTTATTTTAGAGGTTCTGTCTATGCCTCTAATTTAACAGCTACCAATGCATGTTCCCATGTATCTCCCATAGACCAAATGGTAGCCTCGTTCCGTATTGATGGGACTTCCTTTTTCACCTTGACAATATGGAGGATTTAACGCACGTTCTAAGAACGAAATAGTTGCAGACCAAGAGATGACTACCATCAATAATCAGTAAGAAGAACATGGAGGAAAAGTCCAAGAGATCATGCAGAAGTTCCTGGCTCTGATTCTTGAGATTCAAACCTTGAAAGCACCTGCATATACATGCGGAAGAACTGATCCTTTAATGCCCTCGAAACAGAGGTGTTCCCCGTTGTTCAAAGTATCCAAACAGTGTTCTCCATCAGAATGTGCAAGGTGTCTTCTTTGAAGCCTCTAAATATAGAACTCAGTTCTAGTCCTCGATGTCAAAGTTAAAAAACAAAGTTATTAAATAAATTACTTTCATATAGGCAAGTTATTGCTGGAGTGGTCGTGTTATGATAGCCATTTAGTAAGCTAGCCAAGCAAACCCCTTCCAGCTTTTGAGGGGGCACTCCAAATTCCATAACGACTTCTTTCAAGTCCTTTTTTTGTTTTGTTTTTTCTTCCCAAAAGTTCAAGAAAACACCCTCCCACCCACAATTCATAAATATTTCCCCTAACAAGCTTGAACACTCAACCTTTCCTTTGGGGAGGAGAGCTCATACCATCTAAGCAAATGACCATTGGTTCAAGTCTCGACCGTTAAGGGTTGACTTTGTTGAATTGTGGTTTTACGGGTTGATTTGATAGAGAATATAGACCTCGGTATTCACATATCCATGTCAATGTTAATGTGCTTGATTAGGTCCACTTTCTAATCAGAATATCAGATATTTAATGGTGAAATCAATTCCTTCGTAATAACCTGTCCAAAGAAAAAAAAAGGGAAAAGAAAAAAGAAAAAAAAAAAAGAAAAAGAAAAAGACGACATAGAGCAGCAACAAAATAATAAAATTTTAAGAAGATGGACAGCCCCAAAATTTTACAAAACTCAGTTTATCACGTGAAATCTATATTTTTTCATATGGTGTACGTGTATATTATGTGCATACAAAAGTTTTTTGTGAAAAGTGCTAATTTGTAAGAGCATCTAATGTCTTATTTCTTCCTTTTTGTGTGATATTAAACTGAAGATATGTGTAAACATTCGAAGGCATTATAGATGAAGCACCAACATCATGTACCACTTGCGTAAAATTTAACTTTAATAAAATCAACAAAATATGTCCGAAAATATTCAGAAGTAAACATGCCTGTTTTGCAATGAAATTCATAACTTGAGCCCCGGTAATACTGCTTCCAGGTTTTCTCACTATAAAGGCCATGGGAATCTGCCCTGCTTCCTCATCAGGATATCTGCTTTCAATTGACACAAAAGAATGAGAAATAAGAGAGCTGGTACAACAAAGAAACAAAAGTAGTTTGGAATAAAATTCCAAATGAAGGTTTTTGGTTTTCCTTCCTTTGTCTTCTGATAAAAAGCTAACACACGTGACGAACTATGACATGAATTACACCCCATCCTATAAGCTCATCAACCAGTTGACTCAAATCATACATGCTTGAATTTCTGAATTTTGAGTGAAATCATAAATGGTTATATTCCTAAATTTTGTTTCACCATTCAATCTATCTATCTATCATCATCATCGTCCATGATGAGGATCCAAAACAACCACAAACTTGGAAATTGTGGCTAATATTGAAGCCATAGATCATGTCATTGAACAAAATATGAATAATACCAATCTTTGTTTGCAGTCCCAAACAATTTAAGATAGAATTTGTTTGAAATAAAAAATTTAAATATAGTAAAATATTTAACAACTACAATCATAAATATTTTTAACTCAATGATTACGAATCCAAAAAATCATGAAAAAAACAAAAGAAAAAAAAAAAATTCATTTATATTTATCTTAAAAATTATACCGGGTGGGTTTAGAGTGAAACAAGTTATGACTCTCCTTTTCAAACCAACTCCTAACCAGATTATAATAAAGCCAAACCCGATCCATTAGAGGTGGGGCGGATCCCCGTCACAACGGATTAAATTAACATCCCTACCAATGTGTTCCCTGATTTTTTGGATGGACGGACTACGTAGACCTGACCTTTGTCATTATTTGCACAAAATGACAGCACTAAGACTTGAGGCTGCATTCGGACGAACTCATTCTTACTACTACACAACAGTCTACCATGTGCACATGTTAGATATAAATTTCTGCATATCGATAAAATTTGACATTACATACGGAATCACAGCTGCATCAGCAATTTCTCGATTCGATAGAAGTAAATGTTCCAACTCAGCTGGGGGAACCTGCAATTTGATCCATATTTTATCAGATGACAAAGGTATATAAATGGCTGGTAAATGATAACATCAACCACATGTTTGTTACAAGTTGACAAACGGCGTAAAAGTTCGGCGTAATTTATCACCTGATAAGCCTTATACTTTATCAGTTCCTTTAACCTATCAACAATGTACAGGAACCCATCCGAGTCGAAATAACAGAGATCACCAGTCTTTAACCAGCCTTCCGAATCCAATGTTGCAGCAGTTGCTTCATCATCTCCAACATAACCTGTAACATACCACCAAGTTCTACATTTGTCAAGATAAGAATAGTTACAATGGTATCGCAAAGGCAAAATTAAAACCTCAAGAAATTAGAAGCAGCAATAATTAGGAACTAAAGACCAAGTAAATGAGTTTTTCCATAAGATTAGATGCCTTAATTTTTCAGTTTGGGCTCTCTCTCTCACACATTCAATTTACAACTCTATCAAAGATAAATTTCATCAAATAGAAATGAACTTCAATTTGGTCTCCACTTTTATGGCAAAGATGAGCATTTGAGCAACATTCTTGAATCTTCTACTTATTGTCTATGACTCTCAGATTCAGTAAGTAATACAACATTTATTCCTAAAGCTCAAAGTTAGTAATATGAGATATGGCCCACAAGGTTGCCACAATCACCCCCTAGGGGCCCAACGTCTTCCTTGATCACACTTTCGGGCCTTTCAGCTGGGTTTCAGCTCTGATACCATTTATAACGATCCACTCTACCACATGGCATACTATAGTCCGCTTTGGGCTCAAGGCCGCACGATTTTGTTCTTAGGTTACCCCAAAAGGCCTCGTACCATTTGGAGACAACACTAGCACATATAAGCACTTCACCTTCACCTTAGCTAGCCAATGTGAGATCGTGTACCCGTGGGCCGTAGCCTGCCAGTGCTTTGCACTTGCCCATGCACACCTCCCACAAGGTCGCCACATGAGAGTCACGGTACAAAACAAAGTCAAACTTCAAGAAAAAGTGCTATTCAAGGCTAGTGCTCTTCTTGAAATGCAGCAGATAATGTATCATATTTCACAAAGGTATCTCTCAGTGGAGCAAGCTCAAATAGTGAAATGTTATCCCTCTCTTACCATCTTCAACAATCATCCCTTTACCTATTGTCACTACGAGCAATGAGGCAAATGGCAATCTGCATTTCAAGAGTGATGGGATTCTATTCTAGAGAGAAAAAGTTATACCCTAAGAACAAGCCAAGCCAATGTAAGCTTCAAACATGTCATAAGAATGAGGCACATTTTCTGCAATGCCACAAAGTTCTATAATGTCAGCCGTGCAATGCTTCATGACTGAGGGTTGTCTATCCCAAAGGAAGAGAATGGTAGAGTTCGGCTGTCACACAAACTCAAATAGTTAAATCATGCCCATATATGCATCACCTTTCATGATTGTAGGCCCTCGTATCCATAGTTCCCCTCGCTGTCCAGGAGCAAAGGGCTCTCCAGTTACAGGATCAACTATCTTGGCTTCCAAGTTCTCAGAAAGCCGGCCAACAGATCCTTGCTTCTTAGTCTCATCTGGCCCCAACATCCTCGTTGCCCCTCCCCCGCTCTCAGTCAAACCATATCCCTAAGATGAAGAACGACAACGTAAATTAGCATCATAGTATCAACCAACTGCCATCGCTGTTATGAACATTATCACGTACATATAACATGCTGTACATGCAATTATGCACTCGGGAAAAAAAATGCGTGTGTATATATATATATCTTTCATTAACACGAAAATCAATAGTTTCCGTCATATTAGTTAATATTCATATGCATATACTTTCAGTTCATTTGCAACATAACATACTGGTGTTAGGGGAATTCAGTTAACAAAAACTCAAGCACACAGTGGGCATGTGATATACAACCAAACTTAAAGTTGTAAGCATAGGAACTTATATTACAACATAACATACTGGTGTTAGGGGAATTCAGTTAACAAAAACTCAAGCACATAGTGGGCATGTTATCTACAACCAAACTTATTATAAGAATAGGAACTTAAATTATATATGGATTAAGGGCATGTTTGGGAAGTGTTATGATATTGTTTTTCTGATATTGATATCCAAAATTGGGCCCATATCATATTTGGGACAGCTGATATTAGTTTGAAATAGTTCATAACATATCAGATTTTTTTTTTGCCAAAACCCATATCACCAAAATTGGTGATATTGTGTGTTTTGATACGGGAATTAAAACAAATTTTTGAATTTTTAAAAACAAATTTTCGTTACCATACATGGTTCCAATTTCTACCTAAAACACTCTTACAACAAAACGATTGTTCTAATATTGACTAAAAACATAATGCTTAAAACAAAAGGATTGTTCTAATATTGACCAAAAATATAACGCTTAAAACACATCGCATGCCAAATGGGCCTACGTGCCTAAGCCAACATGTAATTGTCCAGCCTCTAAAACAATTGTATATCACCACATCAAAGCGTCTGATTCCAAAACTTAAGTAGGCATATATGATAATGCCAATTGACCAACATAATTCACAAGACAAGTATGCATTATTGATGTTAATAAAATAATATTACCTCATAACATAAATAATTCAAGTCACTCCTCGAAAATAAAATAAGACAACGACTTAAAGATTTTTTTAGGATTCTGAAAGAGTTTTTTAGAATTCTTATAGATTTTACACTTTATACTAACACAAATACCACTACAAAGAGGATGGCAACAAAATGTCAGTGCTCCAAACATAAAGAGACAACTTCAATGTTATTTTAATCTGCATTCAGCATCATCAATCAGCTAATACTAAATTACTAATCCAAATACCACTATATCATAGAGTAATTGAACCGTTTTAATACCTAATCTATCCCAACATTTCGGGAAGCGAGCATTGAACCTACCACTCGGAATGGGCCTCCCTTGAGTCCTGAATTCTCCACATTTAAGCACCTGATTGAAAGATATTATTCTAAGTTACACAATTATTCTTAATAATGTTGCTCTCACACACCGAGCGCGTTCCACTCTCACAATCTACGCACTGTCACTCCCATTTCCGTGACTTAAATTTTGCGGCTTTTGTTGCGTATCACCGCACGCTTACGCTCTTATTCCCACATTGTGTAAAGTTAAATTTTGCTTCTTTGACGCTCTAACTATCAAATGCTGAGTATCTATGCAAGTTTCACTCCCATTCCCACTTGGTGAGAGTTAAATTTACTTTTTTGACACTCCAACTCTTGAATTTGCTCTAGATATTATTAAATAATTTATTCAACTTTTCAAACATCTCAAAAAATGGTTAAATATTTATCATATACTTTTGTCATGATAGCGTCACTTTACTAAATTATTAATTCAAAAAAATTACCTGAACAATCTCAACATTGGGGAAGCGAGCATTGAACCGCTCGGAAACCTCCTTCCCGAGCGGCGCACCACCGCAGCCAAGCCGCTGAAGTGAGCTGAGGTTGTACTTCTTCACCAACTCCGACTTCGCCATTGCCACCACGAGGGGCGGCGACACCGGCATGTAAGTGATCTTGTACTTCTCCACCGTCCTCAACATCCCTTCGAAATCGAATCTCTCCATCAGAACCAGAGTCTCTCCGATTGCGGCGGCCCTGATCATCATAAAGAACCCGAACACGTGAAACAATGGCAGCGCAAACAGCGACACCGGAAATGGCGGATTCTTATCTAGTCGGTTATGGTAAGAACCGGAGATCACAGCAATCAAGTTCCGGTGAGTCAACTCTACGCCCTTGACTCGGCCGGTTGTGCCGGACGAGTAAAGAATCGCCACTGAGTCGGACTGGTTCACCTTGACTCGGTCTTCATTATATCTGTTAGATATATAAATATAAATTAATTTACACCACTATTAGAACTTGACTTTTTTTTTTTTTTTTTTGGCAATATTAGAACTTGACTGATAAATGTCGAGTTAATTCTCATTAATTAAATAAAATAATAATAATATTTCACAATTTTTAAAAAACAAAGTGTCACCTCTCTCCAAAAATTCTATTTTAGGTTATATTTAATGACAAAATTTATCTTTAAAATGGCAATTTTTATTTTTTTTTTAATAAAAAAACGATAGTGATATGCCATTTAAAACATCCCAAACACAACATTTTTAGTCCACAGTGTCAAAGATTTTAACTTTGTACAATTTTTTTATTTTTATTTTTTCAAAAATTAATTTCAAAGTCTTTATGAAAAGGTAATATTTATGGCAAATTCTTGAATGACACTATGGCATTTAGGTCCGGTTTGGTTGCAAAGAAATGGAAGGAAAAAAATAAAGAAAATGAAGGAAATTGGAGTGATGTAGTTTTTTTGGTTGATATAAAATTTTGAAGAAAAAAAAAAAAAGGAATGGAAGGTTTTTTAAAGAATGCATTATTACATTAACGAGTTGGTTTTGTTTTCCTATAAAAAAAAAATTAAGAACTAAAGAAAATTTTGTTAATATCAAATTTATCCTTATTTATTATAAAAGATAAAATCTATTAAAAGTGTTGCTTTATTAAAATCATTTTTATTTTTGAAATCATAATTAATATCATTTTTTTTTATCATTTATTAATCAACTAAACAGAATAAGTGATTAAAACCCTCCTCTTGATTCTTTTTTGCTAACGTTGAAATTAGTTTCTTTTAACAACCTTTAACATAAAAGAAAATAAAAAATAAAAAACTTATTATATGCTCATGTTGCAAATGATAGCTTACTTGTCTTTTGTTGGAATCGTAATCATTGAGTGGAACTCGGACGAGTCGACCAGGACGTTGCCGAGTGGGAGTGGTGGGAGCTTGTGAGCAGTTGAGGAGGTCGCAAAGGCGATGGATGGTTTACTGAGTCGGACCATGTGGGTTAACTCGGACCCGGTGGCGAGTGGGTTGGCGGGAGAGATGGTGACTCCGAGGGAGAGGAGAGAGAAGTAGAGGACTGGAAGGTGGAGAGAGGGAGGGGAGAGAATGAAGGCAACCTGTCCTCTAGAGAGAGAGGGGAAACGGGTCTGGAGAGAGGAAGAGAGGGTCTGGATTTGATGGAGAAAGTCGACGTAAAAGAGGCGGTGGCCGGTGGAAGCATCGATGAGGAATGCGGTGGTTTGCAGCGGTGGAGCGTTGGGGGAGCGGAGGAGAGAGAGAGTGTAGTCGGTGATGGAGAGGGGTTGGGTGGGGGGAGGGAGAGGGGCAGGTGGGCGGAGGCTGTGGAATGTCTTGGTCTGTGAGCAGAAACCATTTCTTGGATCCGCCATGAAATGTGATGTTGTGGTTGTAAAGAGAGAGCGGAAGGGGTAATGTGTGTAGTTGTACTTTGTAGTGACGACAATACTTGGTGTGACTGGCCGGCAATCTCACTGGCCGGTGATTAGAATACCACTCCAGATTCCCACAATACGACTACTACGATAATAAATCTCTTTTAAATACAATTATTAACGTGTTCTATAAAGAAGTAATTAAATACAATATAACATAGGAATTCATTTCCCAATACATAAAATAAGCATTTATAATCATAATTAAACACATTCCTATACAGCATGGAGAGGGAAAGAATAAAATCCAATGCAATGACACTACATATCCCTCGCCCCGGTGCTGGCTCTATTGCCCTCCTAGGCCCATGTTGGCCCGTCCCGGGCACATCGCCCCCGGTCCATGCTAGCTTTGTTATATTTTTGGGTCTATGTTGGTTCTGTTCTTGGTAATTAGGGTTGTAATTCGAGCGAGTTTGAAGTATAACTTGGGTCTAATTTACCATATGAAATATTAAACTCAAGTCCAATCTTAACCCTAACCTTATCCTTAACCCCTTAACCTTAACTACTCAAGTCAAGCCCAATCCATCCTTCTAGTTTTAAATTTGGACTTGCAATAGAGGCTTAGATTTCAGGTAAAATTTTCGGATTAATTCGAATTACTTATATGACTAATCTTTACACCGAAAATTTAATATGATCTTGAATTAATTTTAGATTAAATTACTCTTAAATAAGAAAAAGTTTTTTTTGTAAATTTTTAATAAATTACAAATAATTTTTTAGAAAATTAATTCTCCTAAATATTAACATACAATAAGTTAAGATTTAACTAAAGAAATTTGAAAAAAAAAAAAAAATCATACTTTAAAATATTATATATAATGTATTTAAAAGTAAAAATATATATGAAAATAATATTGGAATTCAAATTCGAGTTAGCTCAAGTTACTAGCACTTCAACCCAAGCCTAACCCTAATTAAATTTGGGTTGAAAATTTTCAACATAATCCCAGTTCTAATTATAAAAATAATTGTTCAAACTCTTTAAAAATTAGACTGAGCTTGGATTACCCAACCCAAATTATACCCCTACCGATCGTACATATCCTCACGAATTGGGTATGTTTGGAGGTCCCGCTAGAGTGAGAGTTCAAGGTCTCACCAGAGTGGTTGAGTTCCTCTCACCAAAATATTGGTCGCTGTTGAATGGATCTCTGGGTTTCAGAGCTAGAGAAAGAGAGAGAGTTGTTGTGAGACGGAGATATATAACAAAAGAATTTTGTGAACATGAAAGTTGTTTGTGTAATTAATTTGAAAAATGTCGAATTGTTCCCCTTAAAAAAGCAAGAAAAAAGTTTACTGACCACCTCACACATTGAGCATTTGAAGATTCAATATCTCGCCATCTATTTGAAAGGTCAAAAATATACAAATGGACTACGAGGCACACTTTGACGACAAATTGAACTAATAATTGGTAAGACATCAAAACAATAACTGTTGGTGCAAGGACTAGACAGTTTGGAATTGGTGGTTACACATTATGGCTCCCGTAAAATATATTTTTAAAAAAATATTTTTATTTTTTCAATATTTAGTAAAAGTTTACGTCAAGGTTGAGGTTAAATTCATTACTAAAATAACTTGTCAAAAATTAACGGATAAATTATTTTTGTTAAATTTTAATATTTTTTTCTTCGTAAATATTTTACGACAATCATACACAAAAAAATAAAAAAATATTTTGTATCTAAACAAACGGATCCTAATTTCTTCAAGAATCTTTGATGTGATCTTTGTTGTACTCCGTGTTTTTTTTTTTTGTTCAATTTGGCTAGCAGAAAAAAATTGAAATAAAATAAAATAAACTTATCTTGGACCCTTGCAGAATCAAAAAATATACTCATATTTTGTTTTCCTATTTGAACAAAGTATATCACCGTGTCACATTCCCGTTTAATATATCTCAACATGAATGCACATCCTCTAGTTGTATTTATTTGGTAGTACAAAATTAGTGACTTAAAATTGGAATTGAAAAAATAATAAGTTCAGAAGCGACAAATTTGTAATTGCGTAGCTAAGATTCAAATTAACGAAATCAAAATACTTAAAGACAATTTGAAGTCTTGAAGATATTTTGTAGAATAGAAGTTCTATATGCACATTAGAAAATTAGAAATGTTTTTTTATTAATGGCCAATTCTAAACAAAATTGTTCAAAACAATTTTGTTTAACCTAGTCACTCAAATCTAATTTTCTCTTCAAATTAAAAGGAACCATATCCCATAAAGTCGAAGTCCTAATTACCGCAAATGAAACCTAGAAAAAGAACAACTCAATCAAACTGCAAAAATTCGAAACGAGAAGTCAAAACTCAAAAGTCTTCATTTAACTTGGTAAATAAAAAACCAAGCTGGGTGTTGAAAATTTACAATCAGTCCACAAATGTGCCATCATATAAATGATTTACAAAACATATGACAGATCTATAAATACAGGAAGGGTGTACCTAAGAATCTGAAGGGAGGGAATTCGGAACAGCAGTCGCAGACCTAACCATTGTCTTAAAATTTCATTTGAAGACTTTTTAGGCCACCTTGTGATCTGAACTTCATATGATTTTTGCACACATCGATGACAAAGGCATTTCTAACATTGGACGTTATGGAATTCTCATTCTATGCAATTACCAAGTTTTTTTTCGCTGATATACCTTGGATCATAATCTTGCTGAAGCTCCAGAAGCATGATTGACCAGCTCCCTTCTCAAGATCTTTCCCGCCGGAGATTTTGGAATAGAGTTGATAAATGCAACGCGTCGAATCTTCTTGTATGGTGCAACCTGCAAGATGTAATGTACCAATGCTACCATAAAAACTACTGCCAAAAATACAAGCGGGAATATGCATGCCATGGTCTGCAATGTTTTAACATGACGGCACAGAATGCTATAGAATGTGTATTCAATCCACAAGATTGTGACTGAGGTTCTCAATGTCGATATGAATGCTGATTCAACAGCTCATTTCCTCTTTAAGATAAGAATAACATTGTTGTTTGAAAAGGTTGAATATTTTATATTCCTAGCACCAGAATTTGAACGTGACATATGATGATCAACATTTCAAGTGATCTTTTAAACGGTTTAAAAAAATTTAATCATTTGTAGCTCTTTTAAGTCTATGATCAATATGCTTTGATACTAATTGTCAGTGAGTGAGTGATGACTTGGACCTTGAGGGAAAGTAAATAAGTCTTGTGGATATTAATTTACAACTAGCTTTTTGAATTACCATCAAATCTTATTTAAAATTCAATTAATTAAGTGACTACATGTTTCAATTGCAGTCATATAAACATACAAGTAATACATAAAATGAAGCAGAGAAAAATATATCTTTTAGGTGGAAAACCCTAAACGAGGAAAAATCACGGGAACTAGTTTAAGAGGATCAACATCCACTACAAGAAAGAGGTTACTGACTCTAACAAAAGAATCATCTAGTCCCTCCCGACTTAGACTTACTCAAGATCGATCTCCACAGATCCTGCAGCTGCTGATCCATGACGTGACTCGCTCCTCATGCAATCTACTTCTCCATGGACTTCAAATCTCCATGGCTAGTGATGTCCAATCAACTTGTTCTTTGCAAACCACTCAGGGTTGATGCTTTAACATATCATTTCAATTCTTCCCATTGCTTTGATTTTCCCCTAGATTGATTCTCAAAGCTCTCTCTAAATCTATAAATTCTCTTAATAATAAGTAAAGAGTTGAAATCTCCCATGAGAGATACCCTAAACGGACAATAATCCCATATTTATAACCAATACAGGAGACACGTGTAGTATGGTAAGGAAAATCCTTTTAGAATTTTGATTTGAGAGAGTTTACATAAAAGTGTGCCGGCAGGGTTCGATCGCAATCGAAGCACCACTGGACAAGTTTCAGTTGCTCGATACATCGATCGAGACATTCTGAATTTCAAAACATTTCTTATGCAAACAATCTCAATCAATCAACCATTTGATCAAGGTTTACTGTTTTGTAAAATCCTCTGTTTTGAAAATAATTTTATCAAAAATATCAATTTTAATAAACAGGATAAAAACAATATTTTGAACCATCTAAAGATCAAACATAGGTCATAATTGGTCTCAACTTACCTTAGTCTACATATGTGACTGAGCTTGAGAGCTTTGCGTCGTGTTCTTCGATGTCTTAATCTCCACCATCTTCCATGACTCTAGACAAATGACTCATGACACTTTGACACACACTACAACCCAAGAACATCTCCATTTAATATATCCTAATATAAACATCTCCAAATCTCTCCCTCAACTAGAATTTCTAGTTTTACTAAATTAGTATTCCATATATTTTGTTCTTATTCTACCTATCTTAACCCTCTTATTTTAGAGGTTCTCCAGATCTATATACCTCCAATTATCACTTACCAATGCATGTTCCCATGTATCTCCGTTGGGCCAAATCGTAGCCTCATTCCGTATCTCAATGTGACTTCCTTTTTCACCTTGGCAATATGGAGGATTTAAAGCACTTTCCAAGAAGGAAATGGTTGCAGAGCAAGAGATGAGTCCATCATCAATAATCAGCTAGAAGATCATGGAGGAAAAGACTAAGAGATCATGCAGAAGTTCTGAATCTGATTTTTGAGCTTTACACCTTGAAAGCACCTACATAGACGTTCGGAAATTCTGGTTCTTTAATGCCCTTGAAACAGAAGTGTTCCCCATTGTTCCAAACAATGTTCGAGAAAATGAGAGACCAGTGAACTCCACCACCAGAACGTGCAAGGTGTCTCCTTTGAAGCCTCTAAAGCAGTTCCACCTATTATTTATAGCCATGTGTAAGCTAGGCAAGCAAATCCCCTCAGCTTTTGAGAGGCACTTCAAATTCCATAACCACTTTCTTTAAGTCTCAACCGATAAGGGTTGATTTCGTCAAATTATGATTTCACGGGTTGATTTGGTAGAGAATATAGATTTTGGTATTCACATATCCATGTCAATGTCAAAGTGTTTGATTGGTTCCACTTTCTAATCAGAATATCAGATATTTAAGGGTGGAATCAATTCCACAGTGATAACCTGTCCAAAGAAAAAAAGAAAAAAAAAAAAAACAAAGAAAAAGAATCTACATAGAGCAAACTAACTAACTTGAGGCAAGTAATAAAAGTTTACGAAGATGGGCAGCCCCAAAATTTTACAACATCAGTTTATCATGTGAAATCTATATTTTTTTTCAACATGGACCTCGTGTATAATATGTGTATTCGAAGGTTTTTGTGAGAAGTGTTGGGTTTGTGTCTCAAATTCTTGAAGATTGTGGAATGCTGAAGAAGTCCGACAGGTCCATACCGGTTATTGTAGCACGTTGCTGAGTCGGACCGATTGCACTTTGCCTGATGAGTTGCAGAATTTGCTTACTTAATTAGAAGATGTTCTTTCCTATGGGCTGAAGACTTGTGTAGGAAGTTGTGTCTCGGTAGGCATCTATTTTAGAGAGGTGATCGATTTGGTACTTCTTGTTAAACAAGGTATAGGAATCCTTGTTCAAGAAGTATTTGTAATATAGACTTTATAACTAGGAGAGGGAGTTACTTAGCAAAAAAATAAATTGGAGAGGGAGTTGTTTGGAGAGGGGTGAAGAGAGAGAGAGAATTGAGAAAGTTGTGAGAGAGAGAGAGTTGAGAGAGTGTGTGTGTAATCTTTATTGAAACGAAGTTTTTCGTTCTTCGTCCGTGGAGGTAAGAAATTCGTAGAACCACGTAAATCTTGTCTTGTTTGTGTGTGTGCTTTCATCTGTTTTTGTTGTTATTGCTGTTTGAGATCTTGGGAAGGGAATTATATTTCTATCAAGAAGTGCTAATTTGTAAGAGCATTAAATGTATTATCTCCTCCTTTTTGTGTGATATTAAAGCTAAGATATGTGCACGTATTCTGAAGGCATTATAGATGAAGTGCCAACTTCATGTATCACTTAGTTAAAGTTTAACAAAATCAATAAAATGCGACTGTAAATACTCAGAAGTAAACATGCCTGTTTTGCAATGTAATCGATAACTTGAGCCTCAGTGATACTGCTCCCAGGTTTTCTCACTATAAAGGCCATGGGAATCTCCCCTGCTTCCTCATCTGGATATCTGCTTTCAAATGACACAAAATAATGTGAGATTAGAGAGCAGGTACACAAAGGGAACAAAAGTAGCTTCAAAGAAAATTAAATTAAATTCCAAAGGCAAGTTTTTCATTTTCCTTCCTTTGTCTTATGATGCAGGGCTAATTACACATGACAAACTATGACATGAATACTCCCCATCTCAATTAAGCTCCTAAACCACTCGACTCAAATCATATATGCTTGAATTTCTAATTTTTGACTGAAATCATAAATGGTTATATTCCTAAATTTTGTTTTACCATTCAATCTTCTATCATCATCATCATCATCATCATCATCATCATCCATGACAAGGATCCAAAACAATCACAAACTTAGAAACTGTGGCTAATATTGAAGCCATAGATCATGTTATTGAACAAAATATAAATATTACCGGTCTTTATTGGCAGTCTTTGGGAAACGAACCGAAAGAATTGCAAATAGCTAACACAATCCTCAACGATTCGATATAGACACCTTTTTTTTTTAAAAAAAAATAGTAAATATAGTAAATATTGAACAAATATAATCATAAATTTTGTTAACTCAATGATTAAGTTACCAAAAAATCATGAAAAATAACGGAAAAAACAAGAACAAAAAATAATAAAATATCTATGTATATTAATTTTAAAAATAAACCGGGCAGGTTTAGAGTGAAACTGACGGCACTAAGACTTGAGCCTGCATTCTTACAAACTCTTTCTTACCGTTACACAACAGTCTACCATGTGCACATATTAGATATAAATTTCCACATATAAATAAATAAAATTTGACATTACATACGGAATCACAGCTGCATCAGCAATTTCCCGATTCGATAGAAGTAAATGTTCCAACTCAACCGGGGGAACCTGCAGTTTGATTCATATTTTATCAGATGACAAATATATATAAATGGCAAGTAAATGACAACTTCAACCACATGTTTGTTGCGAGTTGACAAACGACATAAAAGTTCGGCATAGTTTATCACCTGATAAGCCTTATACTTTATCAATTCCTTTAACCTATCAACAATGTACAGGAACCCATCCGAGTCGAAATAACAGAGATCACCAGTCTTTAACCAGCCTTCCGAATCCAATGTTGCAGCAGTTGCTTCATCATCTCCAACATAACCTGTAATTTTCACCACGTTCTCCGTTTGTCAAAATAAGAATAGTTACAACGGTATCACAAAGGCAAAATTAAAACCTCAATAAATTAGAAGCAGCAATAATTAGGAACTAAAGACCAAGTAAATATGTTTTCCATAAGATTAGATGCCTTAATTTTTCAGTTTGGGCTCTCTCTCTCTCCCCCCCTCATTCAATTTAAAACTCTATCCAAGATAAATTCCATCAAATAGCTAGAAATGAACTTCAATTTGGCCACCGAGCAACATTCTTGATTCTTCTACTTATTGACTACGGTTCTAACATGCCAGGATATCACAATAAGCAATACAACATTTATTGGTAAAGCTAAAAGTCGGTAATATGAGATATGAAATTTATATCTGTGTAGGTACATAAGAATTTATACGTTTGAATAGTGGACCATATAAGCAGAATAAGGTCAGGGTGAGAGTCAAGGTACAAAACAATGTCAAACTTCAAGAAAAAAGGCTATTCAAGGCTAGTGCTATTCTTGAAATGCAGCAGATAATAGTGAAAAATTATCCCTCTTACAATCTTCAACAATCATGCTTTTACCTATTGTCACTATGAGAAATGATACAAATGGCAATCTGCATTTCAAGAGTCGTGGGACTCTATTCCAGAGAAAAAAAATCTACCCTAAGAACAAGCCGAGCCAATGTAACACAAACTCAAATGATCAAATCATGCTCATATATGCATCACCTTTCATGATTGTAGGCCCTCGTAACCATAGTTCCCCTCTCTGTCCAGGATACAAGGCCTCTCTGGTTACAGGATCAACTATCTTGGCTTCCATGTTCTCAGCAAGGCAGCCAACAGATCCTTGCTTCTTAGTCTCTTCAGGCCCTATCATCCTAGTTGCCCCTCCCGCGCTCTCAGTCAAACCATATCCCTAAGACGAAGAACGACAACGTAAATTAACATCACTTTGGAATCATTGTATTAACCAACTGCCATTGCTATTATGAACATTATCAAATAAAAAAGCATCACGAACATATACCATGCTATTTACCGGAATATATTTATATATATATGTATATCATGCTGTATCTGCAATTATGCACCCATGCAAATAAATTTCGGTCATATTATTTAATATCCATTTTATATATTTTCAGTTCATTTGCAATATAACATATAGGTATTAGGGTATTCAGTTAACAAATATAGAAGCATAAAGAACCACAGAAATTATGAACACTATGCATCTATCCAGACAAAAACTCTCCCGAAGCCTTCGTCTATGAAACTTGATTAATGAAATAATATTATTTTATTTGATTCAACCAAATAGTGGTGAATCTCATAACAACTACCCTTAAAAGTGTAAGCATAGGAACTTACATATAGATTGAGACAAGATGTAATTATCCACCCTCTAAAACAATTTTATATCCCCACATCAAAGTGCGTGATTCCAAATCTTAAGAAGACATGATAATGCCAATTGACCAACTTAATTCACAACACTATGCATTATTGACGTTAATAAAATAATATTACTTCCTAACATAATATTCAAGTCACTTTCCAAAAATAAGACAACGGAATCAGATTAAAGATTTTCTTAGAATAAAAGAATTTTCTAGTTTAGTATGTTTTCTTAGAATAAAAGCATTTTCTACTTTATACTAACATTAATACCGCCACAAAGAGGATGACAAAAAAATGTCTGCTTCAAATGCAAAGAGACAACTTCAATGTTATTTTAATCTGCTTGGAGCATCAATTAGGTAATAACACCTATGACCGATATATATCCACCCGTCAGAGGTGTAAAATTTTCAAATAGAAAGACACATGGACACTGCTAAGTAATCATATTATTTCATATTTTTATTTTATTTTCTAGGGTAAATTCAATGTTATTTTTATGGAACATGGCTTCTAATATATATATTTCATTGATTTTGAAGCAACAATAAAATTGAATGATAAGATGTGTTTTTTAAGTAGATGTCTGTAACAAGAGTCATTTGTCCCACATTGCATCTCGATAGAAAAGAGAATGGGTATAAATGGGTTGGTATGTAGCAGTACCCAACATCTTGAGTTTTTTTATAAATGGACAAGCGCCTACCCCGTTACAATGTCCAATCAAAAGTGTCGAACACATCCATACCCGTACTTCTAATTCAAAATCAAATCTACTGAAATGCCAGTGTATCATATAAATTAATTCAACCATTTTAGTACCTGAGATATCTCAACATTGGGGAATCTAGCATTGAACCGCTCCGAAACCTCCTTCCCTAGTGGTGCACCACCGCACCCAAGCAGCACAAGCGAGCTGAGGTCGTACTTCTTCACCACCTCTAACTTCGCCATTGCCACCACAAGTGGTGGCGACACGGGCATGTATGTGATCTTGTACTTCTCCACCGCCCTCAACATCCCTTCGAAATCAAACCTCTCCATCAGAACCAGTGTCTCTCCCAATGCCGTTGCCCTGATCATCATAAAGAATCCGAACACATGAAACAATGGCAGCGTAAACAATGACACCGGCACACTGTCATCACGATCTGTTCGGTTATGGTAAAAACCGGCGATCAGAGCAATCAAGTTCCGGTGAGTCAACTCCACGCCCTTGACTCGGCCGGTTGTGCCAGACGAGTAAAGAATCGCCGCTGAATCAGACTGATTCACCTTGACTCGGTCTTGATTATATCTGTTAGAAATATAATAAATAGGATTAATTTACAACATTATTAGAACTTGACACCTTACCAACAGAAGTATAATTCTAAATCTGACAACACTAACACCACATGTCAGAAATAAATTATACCCTCTCCAAATAATAATAGTATTAAAATAAAATAATAAAACTATTTTATTTTTAAATTATAACCCTTATCTCCAAATAATAATAGTATTAAAATAAATGACATAAATGGTTCTTATACTTGATTATCATTAATTAAATCAACAATAATGTCATTTCACAATATATGAAAAACTGAAGCCATTTATCACCTCCATTTTAAAATTGGACAAAATAAACTTTATGACATCATTATTATCATTACTATTATTTATAAAAACAGTGATATTCAGCCTTTTAAAACATCCTAGACAATCAACCTTTCATGTCTACCCAAAAAGATTTGAAAATAAAATTTAAAACTATTTATAAAAAGAAAATATTTATTCAATCCAAAATTAGAAGAAGAAAAAAAAAAAAGAAAAGAAAAGAAAATATGTATTACAGAATATTACATGCACTAAAAAAAAATTTGCTTATTATATGCTCATCTGCATTAATAGCTGAGGCTATTAATGTATCAATTAATAACAATACCTGTCTTTGGTTGGAATCGTCATCATTGAGTGGAACTCGGCCGAGTCGACCAGGACGGTGCCGAGGGGGAGAGACGGGAGCTTATGTGCAGCAGACGAAGTTGCAAAGGCGATGGTTGATTTACTGAGTCCGACCATGTGGGCCAACTCGGACTCGGTAGCGAGTGGATTGGCGGGAGAGATGACAACTCCCAGAGAGAGGAGAGAGAAGTAGAGAACCGGAAGGTGGAGAGAGGGAGGAGAGAGAATGAAGGCGACCTGGCCTTTAGAGAGAGAGGGGAAATGGGTCTTGAGAGAGGAAGAGAGGGTCTGGGTTTGGTGGAGGAAGTCGGCGTAGATGAGGCGCCGGCCGGTGGCGGCGTCGATGAGGAATGCGGTAGATTGCGGCGGCGGAACGGTGGGAGAGACGAGGAGAGAGAGTGTGTAGTCGGTGATGGAGATGGGTTGGGTGGGTGGAGGGAGAGGGACAGGTGGGCGGAGGCTGTGGAACGTCTTGGTCTGTGAGCAGAAACCATTTTTTGGATCCGGCGCCATGAAAAAATGTGATGGTGTGCAGTTGTAGAGAGAGAAAGAAAGATAATATAGAGAGAGAGAGGAAGGGGTGTGCGTGTGTCGGGTGTGTGACTATGTGTGTTTATATTTGTGGTGACGACAATTTCACTTTAGACAACGATTTAGCGAATTGTCAGAGTTAATGTTTTTGAACGGCCGGCGATGCTGACTATGAATGCCAAAGTCAAACTTCAAATATTTGACCTTTGTCTTAAAGCCGCAGTGGAAGTAGTAGAAATGAGGAAAAATATATATATATATATATAAAATAAAAAAATGAAAGGGTAATTTGGATTATTTAAGTTCAATTTTTTTAAAAAAATTCAAAAAATAAAAAATTATTTTAAGAAAATCATAAAAGACTTTCTCTAAATACATATATTTTTAATTAAAATTTTGTACGACAATTTCCAAATTTTAGTATAATTTTTTAATTTTTTGTTATTAGAAAACAAAAAATTAATCTTAAAAAATTGAACCAAACACGCATTTATATTATACTGTATTTATTATAAGATTATGAAAATATTTTTTTAAAAAAATAAAAAGAAAGGAAATGAATTGATATGGTGAATAAGCACTAACTTACTCTTTTTTATCCTTGAAAAAATTATAAGTTTAAGTGAACATTCGTAACATTTTAGGCTTATTTAACAAAAGATCTTTAAAATACCATATGAGTCTTGGAGAAACTTCTTTTCAATTATTTGCACAGTATCATTAATTTTCCTTTTCCTTGTAAATCAACTAAATATGACTATATGTGAATCCATCTTTTTTCTTTTATGACATAACTGCGATTATTTCCCTTTTCTGAAAAAAAAAAGAAAAAGAAAAAAAATTATTATTTCCATTTTTCCTCCTTTTGATATACAATGAATTTTCTAATAAAAAAAAAAAAAAATACTACTCAATAGTGACCATTTCAAAATTCTAAATTCAGCTTCATGAAAAATTCAAACTTATCTAGATCTTGGTAGAAATTGTTCACGATTTGACATGTCGACAAAGAGAAGTAGGGACAAACTTTTTGAGTCATTGTGTGTGTGTGTGTATATATATATATTAGAATTACTGATAACTTGATGAGTTAGTTTTTACTTTTAAAAATAGGGTAATTTATAATGGCATCCCTAGATTTAGATTTATTACAAACAGATATAATATGATTTCGTTTTGAACAATGACACCTTAGGTTTAATACAGTTAAAAAATACTCTATTATATCTTGTAATTTGATTATAAAGTCGACTTCTTTGACATCAAATACACTTTCACCGATTTTATTTTTTCCCCAATAATTAAACTTTTTAAGATTCGAGTAAGAATAATCACGAGAATATTAATGAACAGGGATGGATTAGGAATTCATATTGATAGGAAAATATAACCTACCTTGACTAGCTGCCAGACCTCTTCGACATATTTCGTTATCAAAGATAAAGATTTTCCTCGAATAAAAATGATGACATTTTTTATCCAAAATAATGAATGATGACGTGGTTCAACAGGGTGAGGATAACATTGGCACAATTTGAGGAAGTCAAAGGAGTAAATCTTATCCCGACAAATCTGGCAACAAACGATCTCCCCTGATCTCACACAAACGGATCTCCCGCAGGATCAATTTGATTCCAATCGACATCCATAAATAGGGCACCAAGACATTAAAGAAGGTATGAGAAAAAACCCTAGAAAGAATATACATAATTATTATGTGATACGATTACAAAGACTAATTTGATCGTCGGAGGGTCCTCCGTCGGCACCCCATCGGTGCCATTCGAGGTGATGTCCCTTTGTTTTGCAGGTAAACGTCGTCATTTCGAGTCGTGAGGATTTTCGCATCAACAGTTGGCGCCGTCTGTGGGAACGATTAGTTCTCTGAAGAAATAATAATCTTGATGCGACTTGGCTCAGACGCGCGAGGCGAAAGTTTCCAATCATGGAAACCATCTCAAAGTCATCAGTTGACAACGGGTTTCCATATTCTTATATAAGGACGGGTCTCTACATCATGATTACCCATCCATCCAACCAATATACGCTAATAATAATCAAAATTTGGCACGTCGGCCCAGGCAATCCAATGTGGTGTTTTCCATCTAGCGATGCTTAGTCCCCTCACTACTAAGGTTTGGTCGTCTAAGACCAAACTCTATCTCATATCTAGCAGCAGCCAACTATCAAGGCCTGATCGTGGAAGACTAAGGCCTGGTCCTTCTGCGCCTACATAAGTGAGTTGGTTTCCACCCATCAAGAAGATCACTATCAACAAGGGGGTTTCTACCTACTAGTAAAGCCTCCACCTACCAGACGATAGTCGTCACCCCTTTTCCTTTGCAGGAATTATTTATCAACTTCAGATTATGCAGAATTTTGGATTGATAATCCATGGCAGGTTAATTTTCAGTAATCATTTCTAACACAATCTAATATTTTTAGACAACTGTAAATTATTGCAGCACCAGACACCTCATCCGCTATATAAACGTCTATAGAATGGGTCATCACCCAAGATCCCACCATAGGGGGCAGAATAGTGGATCACACGATATCAATCGTCGATCTACATATGATGACATGGTTTAGAAGATTGCATACCAACCTTGGTACATCGAGCTAGTTGGGTTTTTAGCTTCTTTCCTTCAGCGACCCCTCGGGAAACTAGTTGTCCAGGACCAGTGCATGATCCTCTGAAAAAGTCTCTACACACCGGGAAGGACTCTAAGTCCAATAAAGTTTCTACAATCAATGAGTCCACCATGTCCAAGGTGGTCCCATGAGGTTTTTAATCATTAAGCACCAGTGATGGTCTTTTTAACCTGGAACCAAGCTTAGTCATATAAACTTCAAATTTGACGGGTCACTACCACCATAGCCACAAAGCAAGGCAAGCATAAAGGATAAGTCCACGAAAGTTGCAATATCCCCATATTACAAGGGATGATAATGAGTGTCCTGTATTATAAGAATCCGAGCCGAAAGAATCCGGTAATCAATATCCTCGTATTACAAGGGATGATAACAAGTATCCTGTATTATTATTTCCCTTATCAGTAGGGCATGCTGAGTGAAGCTTGAACATATTACAAACTCCTTACCAAAGGAGTAACAAAAAAACCTAATTCCCTTACTAAAGGGACGAGCTGAGTGAAGCTCATAAAACATCATTTCCTTATTAAAGGGACGGGCTGAGTGAAGTTAGTAAAACTTACGTCCCTTACTAAAGGGACGGGTTGAGTAAAGTTCGTAAAATTTAATTCCCTTCTTAAAGGAGTGACGAGATGAGTGAATCTCGTACAATTTATTCCCTTAACAAGGGAAGATTACCTAAGGGTATTAAAAATAATACCCAGGGGCAGAGCACCCAAGGAGAAGATTACCCAAGGGTACTAAAAATAGTACCCAGGGGTAGAGTACCCAAGAGTACCAAAAATAGTACCCAAGGGCAGAGTACCCAAGGGTATTAAAACTAGTACCCAAGGATACCAAAAATAGTACCCAGGAGCAAAGTACCCAAGGGTACTACAAATAGTACCTAGGGGTAAAGTACCCAAGGGTACCAAAAATAGTATCGCCATGGATCATTACTCAAGGGAAAAGTACCCAGAAAAAAGAAAAAAGAAAAATCTTGTTACTGTTCATATGAACAGTACCCGCGGGTACTGTTCCCCTGGCAAAAGGGAAAAAAAAAATATATATATATATATATATATATATATATCTTGTTACTGTTCATATGAACAGTACCCCGCAGGAATAGTACTCGCGTGCAGTATTCCCAGGGCAAGAAAAATAATAATAATAAAAAAAATAACATTCCCAAAACTAGATGAGCAAGCTTGGGAATGGGGAGCAACTAATAGGGAAAAATAACCTACCTTGACCAGCCGCCAGACCTCTTCGACATATTTCATTATCAAAGATAAAGATTTTCCTCGGATAATAATGATAACGTTTCTTATCCAGGATAATGAATGACGACGTGGTTCAATATGGTGAGGATAACCTTGGCACAATTTGAGGAAGTCAAAGAAGTAAATCTTATCCCGACAAATCTGGCAACAAACGATCTCCTCTAATCTCGCACAAGCGGATCTCCCGCGAGATCAATTTGATTCCAATCGACAGCCATAAATAGGGGCACCAAGACGTTAAAGAAGGTATGAGAAAAAACCCTAAAAAGAATATACATAATTATTATGTGATACGATTACAAGGACTAACTTAATTGTCGGAGGGTCCTCGGCCGACACCCCACCGGTGCCATTCTGGTGACGTCCCTTTGTTTTGCAGGTAAACGTCGTCATTCCGAGTCGTGAGGATTTTCGCATCAACACATATGAGGAGGACAAATTTACATAGAAGGGTTTTTTTCATAATTTTAGTGGGGGCAATTTCAAAATTTTGAGTATAAATACAAAAAAAATATAAATTTAAGAGTATAAAATATAATAATAAAAAATTTTAGCAGGATGGGTGTCCACATTGAACCCTTCACAAATCTGTCCCTGTTAATTGTGGCTATGGATAATTTGTTCCTAAGAATAAATTTTTACCAACTACTATCAATTATTACTAACCACGAGGCTAAGTTTCTTTCAATTGGTGGGCAATCTTATTATGATCTATTATCCAAGAGAACATGTTTTGAATTAATTTTTTTTAGATGCATATATATTGAAATTATCACTTTGTATATTACTGTACACACAAATTTTGTAAGTCTGCAATAAAAACAAAATATGGAGTGATGAGCACTGAAAAGTGCGCATTTAAACCCGTTAAGCTTAAGCATTCTAGTACCTTTATCTATCTTACTTTGCCGTTTTAGACTTATTACGTGTTATTTATATTTTCAGGCACTAATCCCAAAATTGAGCTAACTCAGCCAAATAAGAGCTTAATTGAAGCAATCCTGAGATAAACCAAAGGAGGGAGCAAAGTGGAGAAAGCAAGGAGCAAAAAGGAATCAAAGTTGTGCAGCTGAAAAGTTCGATCGATCCAACTTAGAGTTCGATCGATCGAACATCTATGATCGATCACAGTACTTCTCGATAGATCCAACC